TAGCTGTAGATAAGTTTTCCACTTCTTCATAAACATTTTCGCACAAAACTCAATCACTTTCTGTGGTTATTTTGGAAAAGGTTTGACATGCTCGCATTAACTATGTAAACTTTGTATACTTTATAAAATGTTTTAATGTTTTAACGTTTTTTATGAATACTTGCTATTGTAGAGGTTTGATGGGTTTACTGAGACAATTATTAATTGTAGCAGTAATCACGAGGTTGTTCGTTGGGGCTTTTAGAAAATCAATCGTCAGAACAACTAACAACGCACACACACGGGTTCAATACACGAGATACATTTATTAATATAAACTGTGCACCAAACATATACTAGTCTGCCTGGTACGAGCGGCAGACCTTACTGTGAGGGTTATCAATATACAAGGTATATAATCTCGAAGAGATGCAAACACAAAGAGATACACAACAGAGAATATATGTCAATATATATCGTTCGGTTACCAAATCGCTAATCAGTGTTATTACCCACTGTTACTCTAAACTCGGAAGTAAATACATTACTCATGAATTAAATTGATAACAACTTGTGTTGAGGTACAATTGAATTCTCGAGACGCAATGTAGAACATGGGGTTTACTTATCCACTGTGTATGGATTTGGAATTTCCCGGCACGAACACCAAACCAGCTGACAGGCTCTGTTGCAGCCTCTGTTCCAGCGGTTGTCCAATGGGCATTGTCCCGGTGTCCTCTGGCTACCGGCCAACCAGTCGAGGTGCAGCTTGGAGTAGGACGGGCGGAGGAATCTGACTGCGGCGCGCAGGGCAGTCGTTGCTCCGAGGGGATCTACCAGCAGTCCGGCTGGCTAGTAGAAAGTCTCTATGCACAGAGTGTGACCGCGAGTCCTCACAAGTCACTCTTTTGCCTGGGAAGAAGCTGGTTCGTTCCCGGTCCAGTGCTGCTTCTGAATAAGCTATTCAGGTTGTCGCCGAGGGTCCAACTGTAGGCTGCCGTTGATCAAGCGGAGCATTCACGTTGGTAGAATTCTGAGTACATACGGGATCCTCGGCCTCGCGCTTAGAACAAAGTCCAAGTCCCTTTGCAGACAACAGCAGTTGTCACGTGATTGTCTCTGAGGATGCACGAAAATGGCCAACTAGAGCCCCGATCTGAGCTTGCGCTCCCTTTTTGACCAAGACACAGATTTATGCTGATTGGTTGAGAGTTTGGCGGGCATTGGAGACCCACGTGGTATTACCATGCCCTGCCAGTCCCTGATTGGTTGGTCAAGGTGAGATATAAATCACTTACTCTTGACACTTAAGAATGCAGTCCAGATGTCCATTCGGCACTCCCTAGACAGATAGGCGCCAATGGATGACCATTGATCATGATAGCCAGGCTTAGCTAAGTGCATCCCCGTCTGGGAGCTGTTCCTTATCAAAAGAAAACATCTTAAATCAGCCTGCATGAATACTTTCTCTGTGGCTGCACCACAGAGATGGAGGGTGAGATGGGGCCTCATTTAGGACAGCATACCAACGCTTAATTCTGTCTTATTAACAAGCATTGCCGCTACACTATCATTATTGTTGTAAAAACATTGTAGTACTTTTTTAAATCCAATTAATAGGAAATATAAATATGGAATCATGTAACTAAAGGGCAATTTTGGTAGCTAAAAATAAAAACTAACAAAGTATAATAAGATCTCTGAACATTATTAACGATAACAATTTATGAATAATAAAAGGTAAAAAAAGAGATATATATCAGTTGCTAAAAATACAAAAAAAAGGTACACAACAGTATTCCACCTTCTTTATAAACATTTTTATTAACATATTTAACTTGGTCACTTGCTACGGTTATTAAAAAAAACTGTTGACTTGCTCCTTTAACTACATCTAAAGGAAAATATAATGAAAATCACAGTGACACCTTGGTGCCTCAGTGGTATAATTCTGCACTCTTATGTGATGGGGTCTGGGTTCAATCAACTTGGTCACCCAGTCAAAACACAAGTTATCTCTTTAACCAATTGTTCCATTGAAATAATAAAGACTTTCTCTGATAATAAGATAATATGGAAACCTTATCCACATATCTTTCATTATCTGTGTACCAGCCCAGTTAGAGCCACCACCGTCACTATGGCATGTGTTGTCCCGAACAACCTTGCTATCGACTGGGTTCATCCACCTGTTCCATCTTCAAAAGTCCGTCATACTCTGGCAGTTTCAGCACCATTATTATTAGATCACAACCACAGGGCAGAGTAAAGGTTTAGTAGTTCCAGTGGAAATAAACCTTGTTCCACTTTATTTTTTCAAACAAAAACATTTCTTTCTCTCTAAGGTCGCCTTATATTTGCTGCACATCTTATTCTCATATCCCAAAATCCCCAATATTCCTGCTTTTCCCTGAGAACCAATAAGGATATGATATCTAAAAATTCACTATCACTGTATATGTTCTCTGTAGAGGCTCTACAGTACATGCATTAGCTCAAATATTCCCCTTAGTGTTTCCACTTAGCAGACAGTAGCTGCTAGTTCACTTTGCCTGCTAGGGGGTTAACATCAGTTGGAGAGGATACAGGTGCTGAAACAAACAGATTGCTCACAGGCACTGAACTCCAGTTCCCACAAAACCTATTGTGCAACTTCCTGGCATCTGCGTCACATCTCTCATTGTGTGTTTTATTGTTTTCTTACTGTAAAGTGCTTTAAAAAGCCACTTTTAACAGTGCTATATAAGATAAAATTATTATGTATTTCCTAGAAGAAACTGGTGAATTAAAGCAAGTAAAGATCAGTTTTGTATATAATGTTAAAAAAGTCTCACAAATTATGATGCCTGGGGCTAGACCGGGGAGTCAGTCTTCTTATATTTTTCTAGTGTCCTAAAGAAAAAATTAAATAGGAAGTAACAGAACAAAGCAAGAAAGGAGGGCAGAGAAATTCCGAAGTCATGCACAGTGACAACTGACATTACCTGAAAGTAACTTTTTATTCAAGATCAGGAAAAGAATAAAGTGTTAATATATTGTAACGCTTACGGCCAACAGGCACTGTGTAAGAGCCGGCTTACCAGAGCCTACAGCTATTGGGCTGTAGAGAGATCTATCTTTGGCTCACTGGGTTGGGTCCTTGCTGAGTGACGTGGGAGTCCCGGGTTCGAGCCCCTGACGGTGGGGGGCCGACCTAATGCGGCAAGAGCGCCCGCCTGAGCCCCCGTTGCGTTACATTGGTGTCAGAGTGGGATGGGATAGCCCTTCGCCTGGGACGGTGATTTAAGCGGGGGAGAGTGTAACGCTTATGGCCGACAGGCACTGTGTAAGAGCCGGCTTACCAGAGCGGTGAAGTCGCTGCCCTTCCCTGTGATAGCAGGACTACAGCCACCGGGCTGTAGAGAGATCTCTCTTTAGCTCACCGGGCTGGGTCCCTGTTGAGTGACGCGGGAGTCCCAGGATCAAGCCCCCGACGGTGGGGGGCCGACCTAATGCAGCAAGGGCGCCCACCTGAGCCCCCGTTGCGTTACAATATGTAGCTTTTTTTCAAGTTCCTTAATCATGAAACAATCACTTAAAATAATCTATCCAGATACACACTCACACTGGCACCAATTTTCCAAGAAAGTTTTAACTTCCCATTATGTCTTTGCACTGTGCAATACCGTGCAGCAATCAACAGCAGTATGATATAATCAGTTTATAAATATAATGTACAGTAAATGTACAGTAAATACAGTATGGTACTGTATGATTCTAAAGTCACCACAATACAGTGTAAAAATGTTTATAATCAAAATCTAAAATAAAATAATCTGCTTCCTAATTACTTTTCACTTAAATTAGTATTAAGACAAATATAATTTTTATATATTTTAATGTGGATGTAAAGCTGAAAAAAACATTGCGTTCACAGCAGCCTTCTACAATAAACTATTTTTAATATATTTGGATAAGTAATCTTGTTTTATGAAACAGCCCTACTTTTAATTTAAATATTATATTTAACATACTTTTCAAATATTGCTGGTCTATATTTGTGATACGGTAGCATTTCCAATGTTGTTTTGGAGATTTCTGATGAACTACTTAAGTCAACTTGGTACATAGTACCCTTAACAAAACATATAATCCAATGTATTTGCAATTGTCCTCCATCAAATACTGCATAACATTACACTTAAACTAATATAACTTGACCAAGCAAAGCCAGATGGTTGGAATCATCTTTAAAGAAGATACAGAAGATCATCTTTAAAGGTTTGTTGCACACAAAGTCTGTAGTGGCCACTTCATTGAAACATGTCATGGAAGCAAAGTCAAGCGGAACTAACATCTGCAGATTTCTGCCAGTAAGTTTCTTTCTGTTTCTGATGATCTGCTTGACATAATATTTATTCTGCCTGAATTTCTTTGCTTTTTTCTAATGTGACACTTCCAGGGTGCAGATCAGTAACATGTATCTTTTAACAGACAGGTCTCAGGCAACACACACACACATCTTAAACTTAAATAAAAGAACAGTGTTCCTTTTATATTTATATGTTACAATAAAACTTCCAAAACAAACAAACAAATCCTAGCTGCTCTTTGAGCTCTACCTAAACTACTTATGTATCCTCTATTAATACAGCCACTCAAAATATTTCCGCAATTCTCACTCCAATGTCCACAGGCCCCTCTGTTCAGTCATTGTTTCTCCCTTCATCTCTTTTTAGTGGATGTTAAAACCATCTTGACTAAACCTGCCATCCTCTCATATTCATATAAACAGCTGAACAAATAACTGCCCAATGATTCCTCTATGCATATGTTTTGGTAATTACATTCGGGAGGTAAACACTGTGGCTTCTGATTTTATGGATCTTAGTATTGAGTTGAGGAATTTAATTTAATACAGGAATGCTAATTTAATGATTTAACTTTTAATTTGTTTCAGAAAATCACACGGTGTTCAACCTTTGCATATTTCACTCTTTGGTGCCCTGTGAGTAATTTGTTTTCCATAATCTTTGTTTCAGATTAAAGTTACATCTGCGCATCACGGAGCTCACGGTGACGCTCATGGAAGAAAGGTAAATGTGATTTGTATACTGTGAATAACCAATGTGCAGAGGACTGGAAAAACATTAAGTACATCTCAGGGACTAGGTATGAGACATGAACCTTCTTGTCTTTATGTACTTATTCTGTTGAATGGCACACGAATGTGCTCCGAAAGTATTTATGTTATATGGAGGCAAAAAACTTTGGAAAATAATTAAAGTTAAAGTCCGTTCTCTGGGGTTAGTCACATTAATTATGTGGAATTGGTTAATACATGTGTACAGCATTTTTTATTCCAAAGGATATTTTAGAAGAGTTACTGAAATTTCATGAAGTACCGACAACACCTCAGATCTTAGTTTTTTAGTAATATATAATGCAAAAGTGTTTTTTTCACTTTAATCTGCTGTCTGAAGGACATCTCTCTGGCCATGAAGGAAATATATTACCAACCCCCCTCCCACACACACAAAATGAAATGTGCCATGGGACAACTGCAAGGACAGCAATGGGGAGGTGAAGTGATATAAAACACCAAACACTGGAAGGGAATTGTTACTGAAATAATATTACAGGAGAGGAAGCATTTTAGTGGAAAGAGTTTCGTGGTTTAACTCCTGAACTTTAGTTTGTGGATTTTGTTATACATTTCTCAAAATATTGGGCTTTTGACATCATTCATAGCATTTTATTTAGTTTTATTTCTCAGGCCTTAAAAACTATAACATGGCATCTTAGAAATGCAGAAGAAAGCCTTTTTATTATTCCCCTGCCCTTTACTTTATTAAGTAATTAATTAGTGCTTATGTTATTCTGTAACTAGACACTTATTTTTAAAAAGTTTGTGCTTTAAAATAAGAAATTGTGTTATCAATTATACAAACAATAGTTGCTTGTCATTTTTTCTTCCTCTGCTTTTTTGCTTGACATAAGATTGTGGAAAGGGGAATGATGACTCATCTTGAAAAGAGAAACAAAATTGCCTTGTCTTGATAAAATTCATCAAGGCAGAGTCACTGATCTGATAATTTCCCAATTAATGTGCCTGTCTCCAACCTTCCTCAAGATGAGATAAATTGTCCAGGAGCCAGTATCCTGTAGCTCTGACAACTGATACCTTGAAGGCTCCTGTAAACTAGATGAGCCCATATCTCTAGACCTTCCAAAAAGGCGATGAGATACATTGTTTGAGCTAATTTAAAACCATCATGAGGGAGTGTGACAGAGATTGTTCTTGTGGTGCTAACCTTTTATCTGTTCTGTCATGCACTGTAGCATCACTGCTGTTCATTCAGTCTCTGTTAATGTCAGCACAACTGTGCAAACTACAACTTTGGAAACAGCATGTGAATATCTGCTAAATGTTAACAATTGCCACAAGAAAAGATGTATCTTTTTTGTTTACCAAAATTGTACGCAATATTCTAAATGAGGCCTTACTAGTGTGTCATACACTTTTAACATAATGGCCCTAGATTTAAAAGAAAGGGTGTTCCTACCTTTTATTTCTTTATTTCTGACCTTTTCAGTGGCAGAGAAAAGGTGAATTAAATTAAATTAATTAAAATAAAAATATTTGTCAGGTACAAAGCTACAGTATATACCGTCAAGCAAGCAATGAGAAAAATATCATCATGTTGTGTTTGAGCTACTTTTTTAAATGCAGCAGTTCTAATATGGTTGTAATTACCCTTAAGTTTCAGTTGGTATTATATAATTAATCAGTAGCAGGATTATTAATTATTTTGAATATAGATTTAGTGACTTTCGTTGTCATTTCACTTTCATTTTCAGGAAAGGGAGAAGTAAAATGTATATGTGAAAATAATGGGAAACCTTTAGAAGATGAAAGGGAAATGGATGAAGTAATGATCAATTATCTGATCAAGAGTATCCAATACAAATCAGATGAGAAGCTACCATTATTAGCAATTAAAGCTACTACTTAAAGCTCTAAGTCAATTATGATGTTATCGGAATCGTAGAAACCTGACTTACCAAAAATGATGGAGAGGATGATTCTTAAGAATCTCAGAATCAATGTGTGTCAGACTAGTTAAAGAAACATTGTAATGGGATAGTGATAAGAGTATGCTATAGATGAACAAATTAAGATTATACAGTATAATTCTACAATGGTTTACGAATGAAGAATTTCTGTGCACAAAGAAGAAGCAGCATTTATGGGAGACTTCAACTTTCCTAACTGAAATGGTCAACATGGCTCGTGAGAACTTTCCTACCCAGTTTGTCACAGCACATACAGGCACTAGAAGAGCCTGAGTTAGAGGAAGCTACTTCTGAAAAAGACTTAGGTGTTTATGTTGAGATATCATTAACATCTTCTAGACAGTGTGGGGAAAATTTAAAGGTGTGGAATGTTAGGATATGTAGGAATATTTAGGGCAATGATGTTAAAAGTGTATATCACACTAGTAATGCCTTATGTAGAACACTGTGTACACTTTTAATAATAATAATAATAATAATAATAATAATAATAATTGCTTATATTTATATAGCGCTTTTCTGGACACTCCACTCAAACCACTTTACAGGCAATGGGGACTCCCCTCCACCACCACCAATGTGCAGCATCCACCTGGATGATGCGATGGCAGCCATAGTGCGCCAGAACGCTCACCGCACATCAGCGATCAGTGGGGAGGAGTGCAGAGTAATTGAGCCAATTTATAGAGCTTAATTACTCTGCTCTATATAAGTGTAATAATTCTTTAAGAAGGAGAACAGAGTGATGAAGCTCATGAATGGGGATTATTAGACCATGATTAGTAAAAGACAGGGGGAAATTTGACCAGGACATCAGGTTAATGCCCCTACCCTTTTTGAGAAATTCCCTGGACCTTGTTTTTAGTTCTCATCTGAAGGATAGTGCTTTTTTTTAAAGTATAGTGTCCCCATCACTCTATTGGAGCATTAGGACCCACACAGACCGCAGGGTTAGCACTCCCTACTGAAAACAGACAACGGATGAAGGGAGATTTCACCAGTTAGAGTTGTGTACTATAGTGGAATACCACAAGGGTCTATATTTAACAGTAGGAATACAAAGGTATTTTATTTATTATTAGATCAGGCAATTTTAAATGAGCACCAAAAGCTCAACCTGTGTATGGACTAACTGAGTAGCAATTTCAGCAGGGTTCAGTGAATTATGTTGGTCAAGTATATGCTGGCTTCAGAAGTGTAGTGATTTACTGTACATAAATTAGAGCACTTTACAGAAATTCTTAGGGCTAGAGAATAAAGCATTGTAATTGTCCTTGATCATCTCAGTAGAAGGTACTCGGTAGAAGGTACTACTAAGGTTCTTGTTTTATTTTAGTCTCATGTACTAAGGTACAGTGTTGAGCATGTGCATAATAAGGCTGACTTGCATATTAAAAATTATGCTTTAGTACTCATGAGTTTTTCAGATTTACTTTTCAGAGTGGTCAGATTTTCTATTACCAGTTGCAGAATTGTACTTTCTAAGAACCCGTTGTTGTTTTTGCTCAAATTAGAAGTATAATCAATACAACAGCTTCTAATAAAGCATTATCAAGCAACCTTCAATAAAAAATGAGAATTCATTTTAGGATTATTCTTATGTTTGTGCCTGCAGAACTCCAAGGATCTGAGTTAATTTTGAAACTTTGGAAAACAATCCTAAAGAGTATATATGATCTGTATAGTTTTCTACTGTTGCTTTGAATTTCAGTTAAGAAAAATCCTCAAGATACTGTAATTGCACAGGAAGGTTGAAACGTTACATTGATACTGTTCTCTATCAATTCTGTACCAACTCCAAAATAAGTCTATTGAAATACACAGAAATAATGAGGAGAATATGTTGCAATTCAAACTGTTGAAAAGCTACGCATATTAAAATAATTCATACACAAAAAGTAATACTTCAAGAAAAGTAGCTTAATAACATTTGCATCATGAGTTTACTAATGAAAATGTTCTTAAAATTTCACATGATGAAACTTTTGTTTCCTGGATCCTTTATTTCTTGTAGATATTTGTAGAAACGGTGCTTTTTTATTTGATTCGACAGGACTCTAGAAAAGGACAAAATTGAGACCATTGTCCGTATGGCTTTTAGTTCTCAAATATATTGTCAATCTGAATGTCTACTGTAGCATACTGGTTATTAGCCTTCTATAATTATATGCAGTTATCTGCAAAGCCATTATTTAACAAGAGACTAATTACTCTTATGTAAATTGGAGGCAAGATATAGTTAGCTTTTAGCCTAGTCCTTAGGCAGTTCTTCTACAAATATATTCCTGAAGCATTGTGTCCTGTTAGAATAAAAGGATTCTTTGTTATGTATAGCACAGGGCTTGTATAAATACATTCCCATTCCCCTTAAGTGAGATATTAATCCACTTTTAATTCGTTGAACTTCGAACTGTACGACTCCAGAATGAAGCTGCACCCACGTTTTACTTGTTTAGCAACATTCACTTCAGTATTTTCTTAAAACCCCATCACAAGCACCAAATATTGTAAGACCCCGTTAATAAAAAATAATTTATTAATCTTAATTTTAAAAGTCAACAGTCATGGTATGAGTCTGAATTTAATATGAGGAATTCTGCATTTTAAAAAAATAATAAGATAATGATGTTAGGCAAAAAACAACTCCATGTCCTCACAACTGCCTTTTCTGAATAGACAAAGAAAACTTCTCTACCTATTTTTTTGTTTCTTATCACATCCCTGAATTGGCCAGTCAATCACCAGTTACTCCATGCAAAATATTACTAAACATGTTGTTGTATGCTAAAATATCAAATCAGATGGCCACATCTAGAAAGAATACTGCATCACATAGCTGAAAAGTTCCAGTACTGGAGGAAACTGTTGTTTAGCAATGTCAAGAGAAAGAAATATAAAGATTAATGTATATCTAGGTTTGCAAGCAAGGTGTCTTACAAAGAAAAGTGATAGTTCCACCAAAGAACTGATAGAAATAAGAGAAATTTAGTTTAACTCTTCATATATCATAGCTAAACTG